GAGGGCAGAGAAAAGAGTTCACATGATCCTAAAGTCTGTCAACTCAGGTAGATGAGCAGATATGAATTTTTGTTTTGTTTTATATTATGCTTTGTTTTGCTTTGCTTTTTGTTTTTGTCTTCCACTAGTGGAATTAAGCAGTCTAAGTCGGGCCAGAGAAGACAGGGAAGTTCCCCAAAACAAAAGGAGTTTCAGCAGCTGCTTGGGAATATTCCTTAAAATCTCCACCCCGAGGTAGGCTAGCCAGAAACAATTGGCTCTAATTATCATAGTTATTAATCCAGGAAATGAATGAGAGAGAAGCCTTCACATATAGTTCGAGTAACCAGAGTGTATAGGAAGAAACAGTGAGAGAGAGTTAGAGTTCCCTACGTTAGGGATGCCCTCTGTAAAATCCACTGCACTGTTTCAGTGCATTGCTTTGCTGACAATGACCGGAAGCCGGGCTCGCTGCCTTGGTCGGGAAGGCCATGTCAGTCAGTTGTTTCAAAGACACAGGAATAGCAGCGGCAGAGCCCAGCGTAGCACTAGTCACGCAAGCATCATGAAACTCTTGGGCACAGACAGCATACTGGGCTGGGGTCCGAATGATGTTCTTAAGACAGCCCCAGTCCCAGGCACACATGGAATGAGTGCCATGAATAGTTTCTAAAATACCGATTGTAAAAGGGCTGTGATGGACCTACTGCCGAACTGATTTTTGCAATTCTTTTACTATTGGAAAGAACAGGCCTTCACGGTCACATTGCCCATTTTACCTGTCAATGGGAAACAGCTGGAATTTACTGGCCTTATGGGCTTTTTAAATGTACTTTTGCATGGGGGGGAGGACTTTATCAGAGCAGGTCAGTGAGGTTTTCAGAGGCTCCTTATCGTCCCACCCTTTTGGGGAGGGGGGAGTAGCTTCTGGCTGTAAAGGAGCCAGAGGCACAATCTGAGTACAGGGGGAGCAAGGCTTTTCCTCCTTCTTATTTACTTTTTTTTAATTTTTTTTTTAAGTTTTATTTATTTTTGAGAGAGAGAGCATGAGTTGGGGAGAGGCAGAGAGAGAGGGAGACACAGAATCTGAAGAAGGCTCCAGGCTCCGAGCCGTCAGCACAGAGCCTGAAGCAGGGCTCGAACTCCCAAACCATGAGATCATGACCTGAGCTGAAGTCAGACGCTTAACCCACTGAGCCACCCAGGTGTCCCTTCCTCCTTTTTAAAAAAAATTTTTTTAAACGTTTTATTTATTTTTGAGACAGAGAGAGACAGAGCATGAACGGGGGGAGGGGCAGAGAGGGAGACACAGAATCTGAAGCAGGCTCCAGGCTCTGAGCTGTCAGCACAGAGCCCGACGTGGGGCTTGAACTCACAGTCCGCGAGATCATGACCTGAGCCGAAGTCGGACGCTTAACAGACTGAGCCACCCAGGCGCCCCCCTTCCTCCTTTTTAGATGCACTGCCAGGGCTCAAAGGGGGGGAAGGGTAGCTCGGACAAAGGACCAGGTGAGGATCACTCTAGGGGGTACTTTTAGCCCCTTTAGAAGGCCTGGCCTTCATTGTTTTTTCTATTCGTTCCAACGCTTCAAGATAGTAAGTTCCTTGTTCCGGGAACCAAGGGCAATTTTTGTTGGACGGCCAATAATCTATGGAGAGCCTTGTAATTTAGAATAGTCCCCGCTGTCTCTCCTAGGGGCTGAAGAATTCAAATATAGCGCTTTTGCAGGGAGTCGGGGGAGGGAGGGAGTTTCCCATGGGAGATCTCTCAAAAAGTTCCGCAGCAGCGAATCCTAATAGAGTTTTGCTTTATCCCTTACCTGGTTAGGTAGAGACTGTACCTGGTGCACTTTTTTCTTGGAGCTCCTTTACCGGTCCGCAGTGTCCTGCAGTCCTTGTGTCGCAAGGCCACGTCTCAAGCTTGGCCACATCGGCTCCTTGTCCACATCGGCCCCTAGTCCCCCCTTTCCTTCTGTCACGTCGGGGCCACCATCTGCCATAGACTCTAAGTCTAAAGTTCTCTCTTGTCTTTTCCCGGACACTAGCCATCTCTTGCTTCAATCCTGTGTCCGCTCTTTTGTTAGACAAGAGAGAACTTTAGACTTAGAGTCTATGGCAGTTAACATCATTGACAGGGAGTCTACCTGCATGTAAAGAATACTGGGGTCACAGGAGGGTGCAGGTGTGTCATTTTATTGTTGCTACAGAGATTGAAAATTGGCTGTTAATTTTCAAGACTTATCTTTGGGCTTGGCCACAGCTATCATGTTCATCTAAATCTAACCATACAGAAAGCTGCTCTAGTCCTGGAATTTTCAGTTGTATAAAAGTCTGTTTGTGTTACTTTTCTCTAACTTAAAACTTAAATATCTTTGACTACTATGAGAATATCCATACCCTGCAGTTCCATTTAAACATCGATGGTTATGTTATGAAATAGACTTTAGGTACCTTTAGCCCAGTTTGGTTCCTAATAAAGATTTACTTTTACATAAATTTAGAGCCAGTGCAGTGTAGTGAAAAGCACAAAGATTTTGGAACTAAGATAGTTCTGGACTTATATACTAGCCTAAATAGAAGATAAGCCTGAATCTCAATCTTGGCTCTGGCAGGTACAAATTCTGAGTTCTTATTGCTAAGATGACTACACAAAGCAGTAATAGAATATGGAGACATTTCTGGCATTAATTATTGAACTTCAAGATGTACCTGAATGTGGCTCAGAAGAATGGCATGTATTAGGTCTTTGCATCAAGATGCAAAGAAATATATGAAATTAGGACATTAAAAGAAAGTATATGGAAGGTGAGAAAGGGAGAGCCGGGCAAGATGACTATGGACTTGGAATGGAGGTTTGATGATGGAACATACCTTTGGATTATATTACCTATTCAATGACCAGAAAATGAGTTGAATTTAAATGATAGGTGCTTTCATAAAAAAATGAAACATATTTATACCATGTGCTGTAACAGGGTCTTCAAAAGGCAAAATTCAGAGAAGTGATGCTGGGGGTGGGGGGAATCTGAACAAGAAAACTACTGCCTGCCCAATATTTTCAATAAAGAGGAAGCAAGGTGACCAGTAAGACCCCAATGAAAATATGAATGCATCCCAAGAAGGAACAGAATGGAGTTATTAATAAGCAGAAAGTTGTCAGAAGTTTACACATAGGACAGATGTGGGGATTTACAGGAAACTTCCACACATACACACACAAAACAAAAACAAACAAACAAACAGAATTAGCAGAATTCCAGAAAAGGTGGCAGTGGTAATCATCTCTGTAAGTCCAAATGGAGCTCCCTAAGATCTTACTATAAGATGGAGAATTTCAGATAAGACTAGAAAACTGAGACTCGGGTATATGCAAGGCCATAAATGTCGCTTAGAATTGCTTTAACGATGTATGGGATGCCGTGGTAGATTGCTTAAATTGGTCCCAATTCTTCAGCCTATCACATTCCTATCCTCTCTCACCATGAGAGGGATGATCTGTTCTATTCTTTCACTGTCCTCAGCCGTGTGATTTGCTTTGGCTAATTAGATGTTGGCATAAATTTTGCAAGCAGAATCTTATATTGCTGGACTTACATTACTGGGGCTTGCATACTGAGTCTTGTTCACGATTGTATTTCTACCATCACCATGAGAAGGTTATGTCTAGACTAGTGAACTGGTCCAGGGAGAAGGCTAAGAGATAGGAGGATCAAGTTCCCCTTACTAGCTTCCAGTTGGCCCCCAGGTACAGAACGAGAAATCTGAAAACAGTGGAGATATCTATGGCAACTCCAACATAGATCACTGGTCTCTAGAGACATATACGAAATAAACGTTTAGTGTTGTCTACCACTGAGTTTTGTGGTTGTTACACAATAAAAGCTGACTGGTACAAAAACTGGTATTAGAAGTGAGCTATAATGGCAACAATTCTTGAATATGTGGCTTTGATTTTGAGCCACATATGTGCTCAAGTTGCTGGCCGTATCACCCACTGCGATCTTCCAGATCACTTCAACAACAAAACCCAATCTTCGGCTTCTCACGAGAAGCAGCATATCTACACATCCAACACCCCAACGATTATGGCTGCTGCCAGACAGATTGGCTCTGGATCTGGCAGGACTCAGCATTCACAAGTCCCTAGGGACCACACACAAAATAAAGAGGTAGCTCTAGATGTGCACACAAAGACTCCCCGTACCTATTTCCTCTGCTTAGCACAAAGTAAGCAAAATCACCATTTCTCCATGATAGGGGTTCATCTCCATATCTAACGTCCTGACTTCTCAGCTGTGGCATGAAGGTCAGGCCTGCATCTAGGGACTGAAGGGGAAAGTAATTAGTAGTTCTCCAGGAGCCTGAACAGGTTCCCAAGCTTTAGGCACACTGACAGGTCTTCACATACCATCATCTACTGGGAGCCACTAAGAACCAAGACAGTGGCACAGACAATCACAAAGGTTTGAGTGGCAACCATGAGCTTGGGCCAGGCCAATTGCAAGTTCTCAAATAAACAACCTAACTTATACTGCAAGGAACTAGAGAAAAAACTAACAAGGAGCGTAAATGAAAAATAGAGACTATACGGACAGCAGGAAACAAATCAGTGAAACTAAGACTGGTTTGTTTGTTAAGATAAACAAAATTGACAAATCTTTGGCCAGACTCAGAATAAGAGACAAGACCAAAGTTAATCAAATGATAAATGAAAGACGACATATTATACCTGTTAACTACAATAGTGAGAATTTACCAATATAGTACTTTGCAGTCTTACTGGTGCTTAAATTTTTCCAAAGAATCATTAAACAGGCCATTAAAAAGTATTAGATTGGGAACATACAGTCAAAAAGACGGGAATAAGAAAGATTAGGAAAGGTCAAGTTGGGAGTAAATGAAGTATCAATTAGAGAAATGGTGTAGAACACGTGTTACTATTGATAGCTTACATATGCCTATTTGGCAAGAAATGTGAGCCGGTCATTTCAAGGCAAAGGACATAAAAACCACAACCATGTAAAATATTGATCCTATGCACCTTCCAATGTCAGTTTCACCTGATGGAACTCCTTCAGCAGCTCTAGAGCATTAATGCGTAGGAGTCAGAGCTTCATGACTACTCTTATTTGGCTAGTCCTTTCCCATTGGAACAGGACATCTACCTAACCACGTTAGTTGTAGGTGGGGGCTATTTTTCCCATGGGCTCAGGATTTTGATGGAGTTAACCAATACTGGGGATAGGGGGTAGGGTAGCAGAGAAAGGGTAGAGGAGAATAAGTCCACATAGTTTTACACAGTTGGAGATGGAAGATCCAGAAACTTAACGACTTCAGTGACCCCTAATACCTCTATTACTTTTTCAAGTTTCAGGAAAAGTATATTGTACTTGTGTACTAAAATTAAACATTTTCTCCTGGTTCTCAAGAGTTGTCATTTATCTTACACTACTTTTCAGAATATTTTAGGGGTGCCTGGGTGGCTCAGTCGGTTGAGTGTCCGATTTTGGCTCAGATCATGATTTTGCGGTTTGTGGGTTCAAGCTCTGTGTCAGGCTCTGTGCTGATCGCTCAGAGCCTAGAGCCTGCTTCGGATTCTGTGTCTCCCTCTCTCTCTCTGCCCCTCCCCTGCTCATGCTCTGTCTCTCAACAATAAATAAATGTTAAAAAAAATTTTTTTTATGAATATTTTATATTTTTAAATATTCTGTATTTTATAAGTCGTCTTAAATGACTTGTAATCAGTTTCTCTAAGGGCTGTGCACATAATGTTACTGGGGTGGTATTAGTAGAGCAAAAGTAGACGAAATTCTTGCTGGGGACACACAATTACATTTTACAAATATCATGCCACAGGGTGTCCCTCTGGGACACATAAATTGCACTTGGAATGGTCACCACAGCTATTCGCTGCAGGGTGAGATGCGGGATATTTGAACAATTTTCAGAACGACTGTAATATGAATGTTTTGATCAGAAGTTACACATCTGAATAATCCTTATATACAGAAGTTGTCTATGATGAAAAATGCAGTGCTTACTAGTTAAAATGGGAGAAGTTAGAGAAGTTAACGAAGTGTGCATCATTTAAACACCAGAAGAATATGTGGCTATGGGAGATACGCTATGTTACACTAAGGTTATTCATAGTTTTTAGTGATATTCCAACCTTTGGGGCCTAGCCACACGTTACAGGTGTATCCCCAGGCAGAAATGGTAGAATCTTCCATACTTAATTAGGACTTTTTCCACCTGGGTGGGAATATGATATGGTATATACGTATCAAAAAAGAAAAGTATATATGCGTATGTGTGTGCGTTTCGTTTTGTTTTGCTTAAATAACTGTTTCTGTCACTTGCAACTGGAAGAGTCTAATACATAAGACAACCCAGAGCCCACGACTGTGATCCTTTACACTTCTAGTATGTTATGAACACGGAGACTTTGTGCCTGAACTGGAGTTCATCTGGCTCTAATATTAGGGTTAATTTTATGAAATCAAAGGGTGAGATTCCCGGCTAATAACCCAGATCACACAGCAGACAAACCGGAGTTTTAACCTAGAGTTTGACCCTTACAAACTGTGTTCTCTAGGGCAAATTATATGATTTTATTTACCTTTATTCATTTTAAAGAGAAAACCATATCTGTTTGGCTGTCCATATATAAGACATTATGTATGGCATATATATAAATAACCCCTTGCGCACCTACCGCCTGTTAAGCTTTAAGCGCTAAAAACCAGTAGGAGCATCAGACAGGAAGGGGCGGAGCTCCAACGGCGGCCGGGGCCGAGCGCCGTTGGGGAGGAAGCTGCGACAGCGGGAGGTGCAGGTGTGTGTCCGGCGGTCCGTTAGCCGCCCGCACTGCGCACCTCGCCGTCCCGGCCATTGGTCGGAGGCCTGCAAGAGCCGGGGTGACTCTCGGATCTATGCCCTGGGGGAGCGGCAACACCAGATTCATGGCCACCGCGGCGGCTCCGTCTTCCTTGGCCCTCAGCGCCTCCAGCACGGCCGGGGCCTCCAGCTCATATGGAGTCTTCTGCAAAGGGCTCTCCCGCACCCTGCTCGCCTTCTTCGAGCTGGCCTGGCAGCTGCGCATGAACTTCCCGTATTTCTACGTCGCGGGCTCGGTGATCCTCAACATCCGCTTGCAGGTACATATTTAGTGCCATGATTACGCTGCCTACATCCCGGCCAGGACATGGCGGACTCCCAGGAGGCCTGGCGGCGGTGAAGAAAATTTGTAAGCACGGAGCTCCGGAATCTCGCGAGAGGTCGTGAGCGCTCTGTGCGGTTGCACTCTCGGTTCCTACCGGAGCTTCCAGGGCCGGGGCGGAAAGCGGGTCGAGGCTAGAGAAAGGAAATACGCGATTTTCCGGGGACAGCAAAGAACCTCAGTTAAGGCCTACGACAATATTTAAGATGCTTTGCAGCCTTAAGAACAGGACGAACATGATGCCGGGTAAAGAAAAGGGCGGCTACTAAAGTTTTCAGAAAAAAAAATTTTTCATGTACAAGCTCACGGTCCAAGTTAAAACAAATTTCGGGAAGATGGGATTGGACTGGAACCAAAACATTGAATGAATAAGAAGCTGAAGATCTTAAAGAGATACGTGGAAGGCAAATATATTTCTTCAACAAGAGAAAACAATGACAGTCTGAAATTCTCAGTGAAAATAACCACAAGTGTACAGGAAAAACATCCTTCTAATACCAAACAACGAAAAATGCTGCTGGATTTTGAACAGGGTTGGGGTTTTAGAAAGTGGACCCTCTTGCAGTGTCCGTGTAGTTCAAGACCTTGGAACCAAAGAAAAGAGTCCAGTCATAGCACTAACCGTGGTTATTTTGTGAATAACACTTCAGTAATCATAATAATTAATGTAAATGCTGTTTATGGTTTTTATCTTTTGAGAGAATACTTAATTATGGTTACAAAGTAGAATGCAAATGTTAACAGCTTTGATAATGGAAAAGTACAGTTTTCAAGTAGGGTTGTTGAAGGGGGAGGGGAAAGTATATGGAATGGTAATGATGTCCTTATAAAGTGGGAAGTTAAGAGATACAGTCTTGTTGATGTGGAGAAGAAGCATTTGATTATTTAAAGGGTAAAGGGCACAAAGAGTATGCCATAAAGTTGCTAAAATCGTAATATAACTATATTTAAGAGGGAGGAGAGTAGGGGAGAACAGCTTGAATTCAGTAAGAAATGACTAAAGATAGGTAGAATGTCTCAAAAAGAAAAACTGAGAATACCGGATGTGTTTGAATATAAAGACAAGAGATACTTAGTTTTTCAGAGTCTGGGGATGGATTAGTGATCTGCAGAGTTTTTAAAAATTAAGGAAACAAACGTGCCTGGGTGGCTCAGTCGGTTGAGCATCTGACTTCGGCTCAGGTCATAATCTCAAGGCTTGCAAGTTTGAGCCCTGCATTGGGCTCTGTGCTGACAGCTCAGAGCCTGGAGCCTGCTTCAGATTCTGTGTCTCTGTCTGTCTTTACCCCTCCCCTGTTTCTGCTCTCTTTCTCAAAAATAAACAATAAAAAAATTAAGGAAACAAATTTATTATGAAACAGGACAATTCAGTTTTTCAAAAACTACACTGCATACTTCCAAATTATGAATAATACTAGTCCTATAAAGTCAGTCATAATTATATAAATGCTGAATACTAATACAACAAGAAATGATTGTGTAACATTGTGGGGATTGGAGAGGAGACAGGTATGTGTAATGGGGAAGAATCAGTGAAGATCTAATGTAGAGAAGTCAATAAATCAGTATATGGACATTCAGAAAAAACAACAATAAACATAAGAAGTGGTTGTCTCAAGAAAAAAATCAGAGATGAGTAAAGATAGAGGATTGCTGTCTTTCACTACCAGTGTAACAGTACTTTGGTTTTTCTTAACTGTATATATATTTCCTTGATTAAAAATTAATTTAGGGAGACCCGAGTGGCTCAGTCAGTTGAGCATTGGACTCTTGATTTCAGCTCAGGTCATGATCCCAGGGTTGTGAGACCCAGCTCCGAGTCAGGCTTCCCGCTGAGTATGGAGCCTGCTTAGAATTCTCTGTCTCTTTCTCTCTCTCTCTCTCTCAAAAAATAATTTAAGTTTTATTTTTAGAAGTTCCCCCCAGGCAATTGAAAAGTACAGCATTGGTTAAGAGCCACCATAGTGAAATGGAATTGAGTTTTTAAATCAGGCCGATCATTGTTAAGATACAAACTTCATTTTGTGGTCTTAGGTGAGTCCATTAATCTGCCTAAAACCCAATTTCCTCAACTATAAATGAAGATAAAAATACCTACTTTAAAAAATCAGTCTGAGAATTGAAGATAAGCCTGCCTTAGTGCTTGATGCATACACAATAAACCGTATCTGTTCCAACAGAAGATCTCATTAACATGTGAATGAAACTTAAAACTCACAGAATACCCATTTTTTTCCAGTAGAGCTTTTCAAGCCTGGAGGAAATCCATAAGGTGCTGACCTTGGGGGTATGGGGCAGATCCTCCAGAAGGATTTTAGGTGAGATAAAAGCGGCCATTGTTTGCAGAGGTCAAGGTTTAAACTATTTGCTGTGTTTTGTGTTCCACTAATTGTGTCCCACCAACAAGTATACTCTAGGGTTGGTAAAATCAGTGTCCCCTTAAGCACCAGGTATGGCTTTGGGAAATTGTATTTCCTACCCTTTATTCCTTGTCTCTAAGCTGTTGGGTCATGTCCTCCTCTTACTACTTTACTTT